AGGAGCCGGTGGTCAGCCGGCAGCGCGGGTTGGCGCCGGGGGGGTGGGCTCCCAGCAAAAGAACCGGTGGGTGGTCATCGCTGAACGCGATTGCCTGCCAGCAGAATTTTGGGTCGTTTGTTTTTTTTTGTGAAGAATCGGAAATTTTAATTCCATTCACAGGGTTAGAGCTGTCACTTCTAGCTAAAGCGTTGTGGATCCGTTGTCTGATCCCAGGCATTTACAAAACATAGAAGCCTGAGCTCTGCTAGAACAATGAGAGGGCGATGCACAGAAATATGTGGGATTCCGCTTGCCGTTGTCCTAGCTGCGGGTGTGGCGGGCACACGGGGCTGGCTGCTGCTCTGCTGGAGATGAGTTTCGGACGCTGTTAGCAATAAGGTCTCGGATATATTCTGGTGTAGGTTTATGGGGTTGCTGTTATCGAGGAGATTTCCTGACTCGTAATTCTCACAGATCCATGCTCCTGCAGTAGTCTTCTAATATCCCAGGTAATGATGTTATCTGGATAATTACATTCTTTCACTTCAACTCCCACGAAGACCAGGGGGAATGATCGGAGGTGTAACCACAAATGCCGTAGTCTTAAAGCTAGGAAATCCCACTGGATCGGGGTTTCCATGTTGTTTATATGTAAGTAAATATAGTAACGTCATTCAGGATGCGTGCTTTTGTAGAGTGATGGAGACGGGGTACCTAATGAGCCCTTCAAAAATAAGCTGAATGAAGTGTCCTTCGGATTTCCTTAGTGTCTCTATCATCAGTCTGTCTGCACTGAGAAGTTTCTGTAGACTCCAGGGTTTAAATGTGCTTTGATACACGCCAGTGAGCTCTGGCTCCTGACAAAAGTGATTTCATGCAGAGTTACTCAGAATATTTCGCATTTTGCGGATGAAAACCTACATTTAGAGATAAATTACGAGGCAACGCTAAGAATCTTCCTGAAACAGCAAGTAGCAATAAGGTGGTTTATGTTGCCACTTTTTTTCCCAAGTTTGGACTCGCACTGCACAGAAAGCTGCTTCAGGCCTTTTGCTTCACTTGTTTTCGATAAAATATTTATTTGCTTTCCATGTGAGAGGTTTTAACAGCTGCTTTTAAGTACAGCCACGAACCTACAGCTATGTGCTTCATAAGTTTGAAATTATGGCTCAGGTATGTGCATCAGAAGGTCATCTTCTTATGCTTTTTCTGGTTTAGTATTTCTGAAGAAAATCCCAGACTGTGCTCCATCCTTTTGTTTAATGTTGCTGAGGAGTGGGGATTTGATTCCTTCACCCAGGTACTTGACTGACCACAACGTTTTTCTCCTCTTTTGTGGCTCATTGTGCAGTCCTGTGCTACGTTTTGGTCATGCCGTGGAAGACTGCTAGGGTTTGGGAGTCCTAGGGGTACAATGTTCCCTCTTTCAGCCTTTTGTTGTCCGCAGTAATTGTGTATTTTACGTTGAAAAGCTAATGAGACTGGGTCTTTATCCTTTTTTTTTTTTTTTTTCTCTCTTTTCTTTTTAAAATAGCTTTTCTGCAGTGGTTTCTAGTGACCTGCTTGTAAGGGCATTGAACCGGCCTTATTTTGTCATTCCCCTACGCTTCAGAAATCTGGCTGGTGCCAAACATACGTACCTTTGTGTGTGCTTGTATTTGTGTAGTTAATAGTTCATATGTGTTCCCAATTTCTGCTGACGTGAGTTAATGCGCTTTTTGGGTATGAAGCATCGGTTGAAAGTGTATGAACTAGGGGTGATACTTTATATGTCAAATGACATTATAGCCTGGCCAGCTTGATGTAAAGGGGCTGAGTTGTACTGGCAGTGTTTACAGTCCCCAAGAGTAGGAACTATCGCTGCATATATGGTACATTTTTGCCAAGCTGTCCACGTGGAGGAGCTGGAGAGAGAAGTTCCTGCAAGGCCCCAAGGGGTCTTTTCTGCAAAGAGCATGTGTTTACGTAATGAAGAGGAATGTGGCTCAGAGATGGAGAATTGACAAAAAGGGGAAAATCCAGTGAAGATCGGTGCAGAAGGTCCATGGTAGGGTTGGATAGGTGTGGGGTACTGAGGAGGGCAAGAAGGTATCAAGGAATCAAAGTTAGGTTTGGAGGAGGAGGCATCTGAATGCAGAATTAAAGGGAGTTGCTGGTAAGATGTAGCAGATGATGGAAGTGTAAGGGAGAAAAGGTGGTGTGTGGAAGGAGGCCCTGGGGAAGGGCTGGTGGTGATCCAGGCAAAAGTGGACAAGGTGACAATGACAGGGCTGATTGCTAAAGAAAAAAAGGGGGTGGGGGGTGGAGGATGATGGGGGTAGTGTTGATGTAGGAAGGTTTGGGAAACAAAGAGAGGTTGGAGTAGGGATAGGCATTAATCTCCTTGAAGTGCTAAAGTCCAAGGACAAATTCAGTGAACAGTGCAGAAACTGCACATAGCCAGATGGTTCTTGTGCCAGAAATAAGTAACAGGCAAAGAGATGCTGCTCCCAGCTTGCTGGCTGCCTTCCTGCAGATGCCCTGGGAAGTTCCTGGGTGGGTATATAGCTTTTCCTTCTTCTGTCTACTCTTTGTGTTGCAGCTTCTTATTACCTGACTACTTGTTGTGTTTTTGTTGAACAAGGTTGTAATTTTTTTTGTTTTAGGAAATGTGAATTCCATAAAATGGATAGGAATGAGGAACTATTCCTTTATGGTCTGTGGCTCACTCCGCATGGCTCTTCCCCTCCCCTGTCACAAAACCAATGCATAGTTTGATTTTGGGAATATTTCTGGCTGGGAACAAATAAGGGGACACGGACTCCATGGCTTCTACAAGAGGTTACAGTGCGTGGCCCGAGAGGTTCCTTGCCATACTGAAGAGAGAGTGCCACGTGGTCTGGTGTTACCACATGGTGTTATTCTCATTTCTAGTAACTTTCACACCTGTCATAATTGTCTGCCGTGATTTAATACATTTTTGTAGATGGAGATTCAAGGGTCTCATTTCAGTCTCATTTAATCAAGAGAGACAGCTATCTGGCCCCCTGCATGAGCTCTGGTCATGATGTTCGTGTGGTTATATCTTATTTGCTTGATCTTTTGCAGACTTGGCTGTCTCTACTTGCGTCTTTCTTATGAAATTTATAAGACAAAGAGAGAAGTTGTTACTGGGATCTGTAAGTCTTAGAAAACTGTAGAGTGATTAATATTTGGCTGCTGAGTTGGAAATGAATATATGATTATTTTGGAAGGCTTCTTTGCTACAAGGCAATGTTAGATAACGTGTCAACATCTGTTACCTTAACAAAAGGAGTTCTTGGTCATGTTATCTTGTTGTGTATATTAGGTTTTTTCAGTACTCACCACTAGATTGCTTGGGAATGAGACTCACTTTTTCGCGTTTACAGAAAATGTGATACAATTTCATCTTTGTAGGTCACTGGCATTGTTACATTGCTTTGAATTATTATGAAGAGATTTGTCTATTAGGAGTCCCTGCTGAGTGCCATGGAGTTATGGGGAAGAATACTAATAAACAGTTATTTCCAGGAATAGCTGTTAATCCTTTAATGTTTTTCAAGACATTTTCTATTATGGTTTGAAGCTTTTATTTTTCTAGATCTGACAAGTATGTCTTTTAAATCTGAAGCAGGAATATGAAAGCACCAGTCCGCAGGTCTCAGTAATGCAATTCTAAAATGCTAAATTTCTAAACAATGCTGGGTTTTGTGTGAATTTTCTTTCTTTCTCTTCCCCGGCCAAAGGGGGGAAGAAGAGCCTTGAAGGAGGTGGCTTTGTTTTTAAACACGTATTTATCAGGCAGTAAGGGTTTTAAATTACTTATCTCCATTTTGGTGTGCAAATACTGAAAGGCATTTTACATCCCATAACTAGCAAATGACACTACGGTTTGGGTTTCTGTCAGACTTGCAGGCTTAGTCCTCAAAAGCACTGAGTGTTACTGGCGAGTTGATTAGCATGGATTTTATATACTGAAAACCTGGCAGGATTAAAATCCGGAGGTTTTTAATATACGTGGCTATTAAAATATATATTCGAAAATATTTGGCTTGATGGCCTGGAAAGACAAGAAGGTATGCATAACGTAATGGTAAATATGGAGTAATACATCGTATGTAGATTCCGGAGGAAAGATAGCGAAGGGCTTCATTCGTGGTGGCCTCGCTGCGAGGCGAGGCGGAGTTCAGCACCTGCGCCCTGGACAGCGAGAGTTTCACCCCCTGCGCCCTGGACAGCGGCATGCGGAGGCCCAAGGACTTGCGCTGCCGTGATGGCACGCTCCGGTGCCACGCGGGGCCCGCTGTCAGCCAAGCCTGAGGTCCTGGGCTGTTAGGTAATACTGTATTTTACAGGCTATTAGCAGGCGTGCTTGACAACAATTATAATAATTCGCTCGTATTGCCAAAATAAAATTTAAGCTTAAATGAGAATAGTGACCAAATGTGCTTTATGTTCTGAGGAATTATAAAAGGTATGATGTTCTGAGCAGTAAAATAATTTTAACACCCCAAACTTAGAAATGAGTTTTGAGTGACTTAATGTCAAGGAGTTGAAATAGATGGAAAGACGCTGTCAGTCTCTGTATATGTTTCTTCTGCGGGCATGTGATAGTTTGCAGTGTATAAATATAGTTTGTAGAATAGTGACCTGCATGATTTTTAGTGAAACGAGTTGTGCCGAATCACATCATTAAAGAGGGGATTACTGCATTTTAAAAACATTTTGTCCATGTACTGCTTAACATGTGCCTTGAATCCACTGTGAAGACAATTCACAGAAACAGGTTGAAATGTAGTTGTTGAAACATGTAGCTGAAATCTTGTGTTCTTATTTCAATTGTGGGTTGTTATTTTTTCCTTCTGAGCTAAATGAAAATAACGACCATGATTATTTTTTTCCTTTTTGTTTCTAGGGGTTGATACAAAATTGAAATTCACTCTTGAACCATCTTTAGGTCAAAATGGTTTTCAGCAGGTAATTTGATTCATTTTTCTCTTTGAGTTTATGAAGGGCTGTGTTCCCTTTGGTCAAGGTACTTGCTCTAGTTCAAAAGTGCATCTGTCATCATAATGCCAGCGTATTATTTGCAATTGCATCAAGAGCTGTTTCATTAGTGTTTGGAAAATGCTATAGGCTTTCTTTGTTTACTCAGATATCTCATAAGTCCTTGTGTCCTAGAATATTATATTTTAATTTCATGAAGTAATTAATCTTTATTTTCCTTGTGAGTGGGTTAAGCAGTTAAACTCTGAAATGTGTGCAGTAAAATTAAATGAGCGTGCACGTCTGCAGTGTTGTAAACTTTACTATACTGTTGCATTAAACTAATGGTGGATTTTATATATTTCTGGATGTGTTTGCTTTTAGTGGCATGATGCGCTTAAAGCAGTGGCCAGGTTGCCGACAGGCATACCGAAAGAATGGCGGAGAAAGGTACGTAGACCTGTATGCTTTGTGGGACATATTGTCTGGCGGTTTCTCAGGAGAGGTGAATGACGTCAATATCCTCAGTGTTTTTTATCAAATATATGGAAATTTTAAGTTGTACTGGGGATTTTTCCTCATTTACATTCTTCAGTGATAACCTCACAGGGCAGCTGGAGAGACTGAGGAGACAGGTAAAGATGGCGTTTTCAATAGTTGGGCTCTTTCTGCTTGAGGCTTAGGTAACTTATTTTATTGCTTCATTCTGTCAGTCTCAAGGAATTGCATTGGTGAAGCTGCCCCCACAGCTGAAGATCAACTGAAAGGAGAGCAAATCTCCAGTGTAGGCTGTCATACTTATGAAGGTGAAGTTGATAGGTGCTAGTGCTGACAAGAGTGCTCATAGAAACATTTGATGGGGGAAAGGCAGATTGCCTAAATTAGGGAAGTTCAGAGTCAGGAGTGATGTGGAATGATAGAGTGCACCGTTAATGGGAAACTGCATTGAGTTAGTGTTGTAGGAAGGGGTCCAGTGGGATTTTGCTAAACTTACTGTATTGCTTTCTTCAACAACATTTGAAGTTCCCTAGCCTAAAAAAAGGCATGCCTATTAATCTTTTCTATAAAACTGAATCAGACAATCTCAACTTTAAAAATGCAATTTTAATAAAAAGAATATTTTTAAGGCTTTATAAAATATGTGTAGTTCCATAAATTTTTGATGCATCAGATTAATTTCCTTTACCTATTTTCATTTTGCTATATTTCCAAACCAAACTGTGCCTCTTTACAAATCAGGGGGAAAGAAACGGAAGACTTATAATGGTATTGTTTTCCTCACACCACTATGATTTTATTTTTAATCTGCAACTCCAGTGAATCATTATATCCATCTAACAGCCTTTTTTCTTTCCTGAAATATTCTTTTCCCATACTCCAATAAGTCTCTCAGACACTTTTCTGTGGTACATGAGTGCCAGAGGTCATAGAATCACAGAACGGTTGAGATCGGAAGGGACCTCTGGAAGTCATCTGGTCCAAGGTCCCCTGCCCAATCAGGACCACCTACAGCTGGTTGCTCAGGACTGTGTCCATATGGCTTTTGAATATCTCTGAGGAAAGAGACTCCACAACCTTTCTGGATAACCTGTGCCAGTGCTGGGTCACTCTCACACACATGTTGCTTCGTGTTCAGGAGGAGCCTCCTGTGTTTCAGTTTGTGCCTTTGTGCCCATTGCCTCTTGCCCTGTCACTGGGCACCACTGAGAAGAGCCTGACTCCGTCTTCTTTGTATCCTACCTTCAGGTATTTATATAAATTGAGAAGATCCCCCATGAGCCTTCACTTCTTTAGGCTGGACAGTCCCAGCTCTCTCAACCTTTCCCTATAGGAGAGATGCTCCAGTCCCTGAATCCTTTTAGTGGCCCCTTGCTGGACTCTTTTCAGTAGCTCTATATCTCTCTTGTTCTGGGGAGCGCAGGACTGGACCCAGCACTCCAGGGCTGTCTCACCAGTGCTGAGCAGAGGGGAAGGATCACCTCCCCTGACCTGCTGGCAGTTCTCTGCCTGATGCTGGCTGCCTCTGCCACAAGGGCATATTGCTGCCTCGTGGTCAACTTGGTGCCCACCAGGACCACCAGGTCCTTCTCTGCAAAGCTGCTTTTCAACGGAGTGGTCCCCATCATATACCGGTGCATGGGGTTGTTCCTCCCCAGGTGCAGGACTTTGCACTTCTCCTTGTTGAACTTCATGAGGTTCTTGTCGGCCCATTTCTCCAGCCTTTCAAGGTGCCCTTGGGCTTATCAGCCATTCCTCCCAGTTTTGTGCCATTAGCAGACTCGCTGAGGGTGTGCTCTGCCACATCATCCAACTCAGATCTCTGTCTTTTCCTTCTCATTCTGCCCATCTCTGTGTTTGCTCCCACATGACCAGATGATGCTAACCAAAGAAGTAGCATTAAGAAAAGGGACATGGTCTTTTCACTGCCATTCCCTGATTTTCCAATGATTTTAAGATTGATACCAAAATAAAGGAAGTATTTTATGTTGGCAGTGTGCTGATTGCCTCCTTTGCTGGCAGCAGAAGGAGCAGGGTGACATCTGCATTATTGCTGTGGCATGTGACATTTGTTTTCTGGGGCTGGCAGAGATAAAGAATCCAGTCAAGCAACATCAGTAGGATGTCAGCAGTGCCAAAGGCTGCTGGGAGGCAGAATAGTGGCATTCCTCCGCATGGGTGGCTCTGCAAAAGTGTGGGAAGGGACATTTAAATGCAGAAAATATGAGATTCTGGGAGCTGTCTATAAATTCCTTCATCATGCAACTATCGAAGTGTTTAAATCTGTGGGAAGTGTCTGAATTGCTTTTCTCACTTGAGTGAGCTAACGGCTGATGTAAAACTTGACCAATTTGCATTAGTGATTTGTTTCATTTTCCTGAAGAGAAAGATCCTTTTTTGTTACTTGTTGTCGTTGTACGATCTGTGTCTTTCATGGTTCAGGAACTTTTCAAATGTTTAATAAAGGTCCAGCCTTTCTCTTAGATACACATACATTAATCTGTTCTGGTAATTATTAGGCTTTAAAAAGAGTCAAAACATTTGTTTTCAGAACTCCCTATATAGCACGAACAGTTTAGGAAGCCTCTTGTAAGAGTAAGTTACTCTGATCTGAGTGATACTTTCAGATCAATCCCAAATGGTTAATATTAGATACTGTTTCTTCTGCAAAGGTGATCAGAAGAGACCTGCAGTAAAGAGAAGCACCACGAGATTTCTTTTATGGGGTTTCCAGGAGATGGATCCATGGCTGAGTTTGAGGAAAGCCTGCAGCACTCTTACCTTTTTATAAAGCTGCTTGGTGGTTAAGAGGTTAGAAGGGCTGACCTGACAAGGAGGGTCCTTGCAGGAGAGTGTACTTCCAGCTTGGAGGGCCCCTGTGGGTTTTATATGAGAAAAAAAATCATTTTGTTGACTTGCTTTGTGTATTTTTAGGTTTGGCTGACCTTGGCTGATCAGTACTTACACAGTATAGCCATTGACTGGGATAAAACAATGCGTTTCACATTCAACGAAAGAAGTAATCCTGATGATGACTCTATGGGCATCCAGATAGTAAAGGTAGTCAGCTTTTGTGTTTTATTTCAATTTTTTAATGAAAGGTTGAAATTTTTTTTTAATAGATGGAATTTGGATTTATTTTGTTCTCTGCAACTGCTTTGGCAGAAATTACATCTTAATTCCCTTTGGCCCCCCAAAATTATTTCTCCAGCTTCTTTGGTCCTTCTTCTGCACTGGTCTGGTTAGTGTTAGCTGGGAAAAAAATTGCTATTACTGATTTTGTTTGCTCAATTTCTACTTTTTAATTTTAAAATAAATACTGGAGTTCAATGGAGACAAAAGACCATAAGCGGTTTTTCTTCCTTCTCTCTATAAATAACACAAATGTTTGCTGGGATCAAAAAGCGTGTTCTATAATGAAACAATTGAGCATTTTTCTGTTACTTTACAGGAGTGAAACAGCTTTATGTATATTTCTCAGCTAATTAACTTTTACTAGTTAAAGCAGTGGGCATTTTTAGGGAAGAGCTTAATAGATTTGTATTGCTGTGGTGACTTAAATATTAGTCTATTTATCTATTTAGGAGGTATTACTCTATTTAGGAGAGATTGTGTTCTATAGTCACCTTAATTAAAGTACATGGAGCAAAATACTGTTTTCCTGATTATTACATTGTTATCTGTACTTAGTATTTTAAGCTTATGGATATTACTTATGAAATATTAAACGTTGTAGTACATATTTTGCCTTTCACTTATAGATTGCTTAAATCTCAAGGACACTGGTTTTGGTTTTTAATGTTTTGAAAACTTAGTTGCCTGGTAATTCTTTTATACTTTGATAAAAACAGTTGCTCTTTTTTATTCAATTAAGCAGCTGTTATGTGTTGCCTCTTTGAAACCTAGATACCTGTTAATATCTTCTGTGACTTCATATGAACATCTTTTAGGTAACTTGTTTACTTAAAAGCTGATGAACCTATTTCTCTTCAGTAAGCTAAAGGTTTACAGATTAAAAAAGAAATGTCATCAACTTTGGGAGTATGTATTGGGAGGGTGGGGGTGGAAGGAAAACTGGGACAGGTGGCAGAATTAAAGGGGGAAGGAAAATGCACAGCTTTTCTGTCTGTTCCTGTCTTTTTTTTTTCTTTTTTTTTCTCTTTAAAGGACCTTCACCGAACTGGTTGCAGTTCTTACTGTGGCCAGGAGGCAGAGCAAGATCGAGTGGTATTAAAACGCGTTTTGCTGGCTTATGCCAGGTGGAATAAATCTGTTGGTTATTGTCAAGGATTTAACATATTAGCTGCACTTATTCTGGAAGTAATGGAGGGCAATGAAGGGGATGCCCTGAAAGTGAGTAAAACATTTCTTTTCAGTGTTGAAGATTGCTTTTAGCTAGTGAACTTTAGAGTAAACCAGTGTGTGAATTTTGTAGACAACTTAAAAAAGCAGGACTTTAAAGAGTTAACCAATTTATATCTGCAGATATTTTGTTATCCTGTCTGAGCTAAAATGAACAGTTTGAATGTTATCACTTTTAAGATTTTTTTCAAACAGAAAAAATGATGGCTCAGCCATAATAAAAATAAATGGGAACACTGCTACTGGCTTCAGAATATCTTATCCCATGATCCCAAATCTGCTTCCAAACATCATAGCTAGCTGAAACCTTCAGATTCCAGTGTCAGCCTCTTGTGTGGCAGCAGCATATGGAGCAGTTAATAAATCTGCTGCATTTTAAAGGAATTTCTAGGAAAACACAAAAGAAATATTTAAAATGAAAGTAAAACAGGAATAAAATACCATAACATACCTACTTTATATCAGAGAGCAAAATACGCTTTCTGTAACTTTTGCTAAAAACTTCCTCAATATTTTTGACTAATTTGTCACATGTTATTGTGATGTTATACTGTGCAGAAGCTCCTGAAACACATTATGATAATACAGGAAATATGATTGCCTAAGGTTTATGCACTCTAAATTGATTATAAGAACTGTGTGCATCCTTATATGATTGGATTGTCTGTTACTGTGAGGGTGCCAGGCTCCTTGTGCTAAGCAGGCGATGGAATGGTGCCAGACTGACCTGGAGAGGTGAGGCACTGAAGGTTGTTAGCGCCAAAATGGGTCTTACCTGGCAAAAATAAGAATGGAAAATAAAGTAATTTCTTTATCCAAGCTTAGCATGTGGGCTTTGCAGGGTTGGAATTTCCCCAGAGGAGAGAGGGAAAAGGAAAGGGGAAAAAAACCCAAAGAAACCAGGGCGGGGGGACACACAAAAAAAGGGGAATTGGGTGTTAGCGTGTGGCTGTTTCGTTGCTGTGGTCACTATGCTGTCTGAAGGAGGTGACGGGTGACTTTGGAACAGCTGCAGAGGCTGTTGCCTGTAACGCCGCCCCCAGAATTGGAGTTATGGGGAATCTGTGCTTGGATTATTGCAGAACCTAGGAGTTAAGGGAGCAAGGGGGTTCTCTGGGGGTTGCCAGTCAGGTCCACTTTTTGGGAAGGACGTTACGAACAAGAGCTCTGTGTGTGGGAAGTGTCTCCCAGGGGCTGGGAAGCAGCTGGCACTACTGACACTGTGGGGCTTTAACAGCACAGGACCCAAGATGGTAGCTTCAGTGAATGTCCAGCCAGGGATACTTGAGTCTTCACTAGTTAAGCTAAGCATGTTTAATTTAAATCCCTGAAGCCACCTCAAAGTTAGCCTACTGCAATTATGGTAAGCAAGAAAATCACAGCTTGCGTGTGTAGAAGCTATCAAAGTATATGTAAAAGTCTCATAGAAGCTGAAACTTAAACATTTTTGCTGCATATTATTGTGGGGAAATATTATAAAGTCAAATAATAAATATGTAGAGATGCATCATGAAGAAAGTAGCTATTGCAAACTGGTAAATGCATGAAGCTACTGTTTTTAAAAAAGCCTTCTCGAAATAATTCACATGCCAGTGAAACAGAATGGACTTCAGTGTTGCAAAAAAGATTTTTGTTCTTTCCTATGCTCTCATAAATTTGAGATTTCTAAAGCAATACCACTCAGTGGGGAGGGAGCAAAAGCCTGTATAAAATTATTTCTTTAAGGTAGGGATTTATGGCTTATGTCATAAGAAATTAATGAAAACACAAATAGCATAGTTGTAAGTTAATGTTGCTATATTAAGTTATTCTTCTATTGGTAAAAATATATCCAAACAAAATAAAGCACGTTTTTGAAAGACAATGAGGTGTCCCAGTATTCAGCAAAGGTTAGAGAGTGCATCTGACAAAACATGAGACTCCAGCTTACCTGTGCACCATATTTTGATCACCTATTTCCTTTCAATCCACAAAACTTAACAAAAAACAAAACAAAAAAACCCATCAAAATGTATAAAAGCTATTGACTTGCCTGTATTGACTACTGATCTACGTGCTTTAAAACATGGAACGGAAGACTGTTATTGCCTGAGAAAATCTTGCAAGGACAGGTGGTAGTATGCGGTCACAAGCAGCTGGGAGAGAAGAGGAAGCAGTAAGACTATGTAGGGTGGTGCTCTTGGAAGTCCGGTGTCTGCCGAGCTGTTTTTGTGGGCATCTTGTGAAAAGAGAGGGATTGGAAAGAGGATTGTCTCCTTTGTATGAACGTGCCATGCTCCTCTAAAGCATTAGAGGCTGTATGAAACAGATGCTAAGGATGCTCGTTTGAAATTTCAACGAAGGAGTAGCAGAGAGTTGAAGCAGATGGGGTGACCGCATGCAGGCTCTCTGGATACAGTTTGTAGAGTGGCCATTGAGATTGTAAAAGATCCTGAAGTGAAGGTCAGCATCTTCTGTTGGGCGGATGATATACATCAACTTCTGCATTGGATTCAGCTATCTCTGCTGGATTTGTTGATTCTCATAAGTTTGACAGTATTCAGTTAATACATTACCACCCATCTACTTGAGCTATCTCACTTGAAACAGATGTCTGTTTAAAATGTCTCATGCTGCTTAATTTAGCACCTTTTAAAGTGACAAGATGAAGTGCAGCACACGGTAACACATCACAGTAAAATGTGTGGGGGATGTTTTTTAAAGAACAGTATCTTGCCTTTTGGAGAGGGAAGAAGATGATTTGGAAGATCAGTCTTCTAGTTGTGGCAGTTAACAACCAGGGAAGGGACAGTGGAACTTTCCAGCAGCATGGGGAATCTCAGACACATGCAGCATCAGAAGTGCCAGATGTTGCTGTTGGTTGGAGTGATGCTTCCAGTTTGGGCGTGGCTTACTGTGACACTGATTTCAGTCATTAATGGTTCATAAATTCTGGACAGCTTCAAGAGGGCTTTGCACCCTGATTGCTTGTGGATACCTAGAGTACCTGCAGATGCTTAAAATGATAATGTTTTGTCCCAGTATAAATGGAGACACCAGAGGCATGTGTTGCCACTGGCTCCAAACCATTCTTTAGTGAACAGAGAACTTTAAAATTCTGTATTTTTTTTCTGTTACTCCTAGAAAATAGCTGGCTCTGTAAGTCCTACATTATTATATTTCATTTGCCCCACAGATCATGATTTACCTAATTGATAAGGTGCTTCCTGATAGCTATTTTGTCAATAATCTCCGCGCTCTCTCTGTGGATATGGCTGTTTTCCGAGATCTTTTACGAATGAAGCTTCCTGAACTGTCCCAGCACTTAGACACCCTGCAAAGAGCTGCTAACAGAGAAAGTGGAGGTAGGTTCAACAGAAAATGCTGTTAAATTCCTTTTTGCTTTTGTTTCATCTGAGCACTGGTCCAGAAATACAGTCTTTGAAGTGTTTACATGATTTTATTGATTACAATATATATTTTAAATTGTTATGGTGAAAGACAACTCTTTCCATTACTGATAACCTTCACATAAATAGGTGGTGCTCTCAGGAAAAAATAAAGAGGAAATAATTTGGTCCCAGCATTAACTGCAAGCAGAACTGTGTTGACAAGGAAATAAAATGTGTGGAGTGACAACACTGTAACACACAGCTTAGTACAAGGGCTACCTTGAAAAGGTTATTTCTTGCCTTTGCTCAAGATACCTGTCCAATTGTTCCTTGCAATTGCTAGTTTACATAGCTGTTCTGGGAAGAGTTACAATGTGAGAGCCAATGGTGACTGGTTAGTATTTCTTCTCCCGGATGCTTAGCAATCATACACAGGTGCAAAACTCAGGAGCACTTCTTCAGTTGCTACCTGAAAACTGGCTTTGCACTGTTTTTTTTTTTTTTTTTTTTTTCCCCTCTGGTATAGCTTTCCCTCCAGACTTTTTGTTTGTTTTTTTTTAAATAAGATACAGCTCTTTGGCTCTTTGCCAAGCTACTCTCCATGATATTTGAAAGGTCATGGCAATCAGGGGAAGTCCCCAGTGACTGGAAAAAGGGAAGCATTGTGCCCCTTTTCAAAAAGGGTAGAAAGGAAGACCCTGGGAACTACCGACCTGTCAGCCTCACCTCTGTGCCTGGGAAGATCATGGAACAGATCCTCCTAGAAGATATGCTAAGGCACATGGAGGCCAGGGAGGTGATTCAAGACACCCAGCATGGCTTCACCAAGGGCAAGTCCTGCCTGACCAACCTAGTGGCTTTCTATGATGGTGTAACAACAAGGGTGGACAAGGGAAAACCAATGGATATCATCTATCTGGATCTTTGTAAAGCCTTTGACACGGTCCCCCACAACATCCTTCTCTCTAAATTGGAGAGCCATGGATTTGATGGGTGGACCGTTTGGTGGATAAGGAATTGGTTGGATGGTCGCAGCCAAAGGGTAGTGGTCAA